CTGGAGATGGTGCGATTAAAGACTCACCTGTCGAGTAGATCTAGATATATTGAGCATGTGACACCTGAGATGGTGCGATTAAAGACTCACCTGTTGAGTAGATCTAGATATATTGAGCACGTGACACCTGTGATGGTGCGATTAAAGACTCACCTGTGGGCACGTCGTACCACATACCAGTCTTACAGGTAAAGCTCCGATCGACATTGTCTTTCGTTATAACACAATTCGTACCAGACTGAACAAAATCAGTGGCCTCAACGGATACACCCTTAACATCGCAGTTCGTGTCTTCTGCGTCGTTGAAAAATGCCAGAGAGCAAAACATCTGCAATAAAAGAGAGAAAAAATAAAAAATAAATAGCCAAAAGAAAATGAGAAATGCGGAGTAAAGGAGCAGCTATTTAAAATGTCAGTCTATAGATACAGAAAGGCAAATCAAATTAACATGATTCTGCAATATTTGTTTATTTCGTTCACGTAGTAATCATCAGTAATGCGAGCACTAAAGGTTAAAAGAATGAATATTCAGTTGTATTTTATTTAAAACATCTATAGAGACTTACCTGTATGCAACATAAAGTGTAATGCGAATATAGATCATATACCAGCACTTCATTAATACCGCATCAAAAGCATACAAGAATACAGTCGTCTTAGAGTCATAGCTGTATTATAATCTGGTGCACCTGATGCAATAGTGTAATCAGAACAACCTGATGTTTTCTCTGGATGGTACAGGTAATACACAAAGAGAGGACACCAAACTAAACAACGAAATACTTAAACATCAGGTATACACAACAACCAATACAGAACAATCTGATGATTTCTCTGGATGGTACAGGTAATACACAAACAGAGGACACCAAACTAAACAACGACATTCTTAAACATCAGGTATACACAACAACCAATACAGAACAATCTGATGCTTTCTCTGCATGGTACAGGTAATACACAAACAGAGGACACCAAACTAAACAACGCCATACTTAAACATCAGGTATACACAACAACCAATACAGAACAATCTGATGCTTTCTCTAGATGGTACAGGTAATACACAAAGAGAGGCCACCAAACTAAACAACGACATTCTTAAACATCAGGTATACACAACAAACAATACAGAACAATCTGTATGACCGTTATTTACTAATTACTCAATCAACGACAGCTTTCGATGAAATAGTTATATTCCTAGTCAAATACATAAAAAACCGAGAGCACATTTTAACGTGAGTCAAACGACATAGCCGTATTTGGCTTAAAAGAGTTCAAAGGGTTCAGAAATTGTTCAGAATATTAAAATCTAGAAATCACCTACATTGTTCAGATATCTTTGTTGTAATTGTATACTTCTATACATATCATTACAGTTGTTTTATTTTATTGATTGTTAAATAGATCGATAAATTAATCGGTAAAAACGGGTAGATTCAGACAGAAGTACGAAAACAGATTTTATTAGTGCAATGTTGAAAGTGTATTTCATTAAAATTGCCCGATTGAAACATCTTGATAAGTTTAACGTGAAAACTTAAGCAGACATAATGAAATATTGAGTCAAAATGAAAAAAAGTACTATATTTCAACGAATGAAATCAAACTTCTTATCGATAAATTGTGCCCCTAAACATACAAGAATTGTTTCGATAATTATATGTTTTTCTGTTAAATAGGTATTGATTTATCTGCCTTTGCCCGGAGAAGGAAACGTGAAGTGTACTGATCAGTACGACAGTGTAATACTTAGGGGGATGACAGAACACAGAGGGAAGCGTTATACTGTATAACATAAAATGAGGTTGTCGTGATAGCTATATTATCAAATTAAATACTACAGATTTGAATAATAAACTTGACCACTATTTGGGGTATTCATGAAAGTTTACACCACTATATGGTCAAAAAAGCTTCAAACCACGCCGACAATTGTCATCGAACATGATACACAGCAGATAAATAGCAATAATTATTTCGTTTTTCTCCTCATGTTTTATTAAATAGTGCCATCTTGCTTTTCGAAGACATTACGTCATGAACTATAACTGTATGTATAACAAGAATCCACTGACTCACTCTTTTCGATATTTGATACGTTCTACCAACGGCGACACGAGTAAATATATATTCCGCAGTTTATAGAAAGTGAAATGACAGGACAGAACAAATATTCAGGTACATTGGTAACTTTATTACGGAGCGTACAAAGAAAAGCGCGAATTCGAATACTATATAATGGAAAGTGTAAAACACAATTTCAGGTAACTGCAATGCATGCGTAAGTAGGTATAAGCTGAAAATGTGCATTATTTACGAAGACAAATTTTATCAAGCTGCAAAACTACAACTGGAAAAATTCTTAGATGAATAGCAAAAATAGTAAGCTGCTAAAGGTAGTCGATGAAAATATCAAAACAAAATTTAACCATTAGCACTATTCATCCGGTATATGTGTTGTATACCATTATTAATGTCACACATATGCATTTCGATCCCGAGGCCTATATGTATTTTCAACATCGAAAATTGTATCATTTTATGTTTCTTTGAGTCTCATACTGTTTAAAATACATTTTATAAAAACTGTTTTCCAAAATGGTAGAGCAGACATTTTCGGGAACAAGATGTCATCCGGGAACCATTCGTGAATTTCAGTCTTGATTTCAATTTAAAATGACGATTACACTAACAGCTTGCCGGAAAGACACGAGTAGTTGGGGAGAAATCACGTGTAATGGTTATTGCTGTGCTTGGATTATAACACCTTTTCTGGTTGGTAGGTTAAATAAGGACTGTACAAAGGAAGTGTATATATATATATATATAAATAAAAGTAAGGATAATGAAATAGAAAGTAAAATAATACGGTTTACTTACCTTTGCCCGACGCTGTATATCCGAAAAGGCGCCATGTGTTCCAGAAGGGTACGAGAAAGCGATAGTTATCACAAGTATCACAGCAAAGATGCAACGGTCCATTCTTAAAAAAGACAAAATATAACTTTATAACATAGATTTTAGATATGTTTGAACATCTTTAAATCATATGAATAAAAACAGCAAAACACATATTTTTAGTGATTTTCTCACCGACAAAATTGTAGAAATGTTTATTTTCTTCCCTTTTAACGTGTACTGTATAGTAAAATATATAAAATAAGACTTTCTTTGTTAAATTCTATTATCCCGTATTAGCTTAATCATCGATGCAAACCAGGCAAATCGACTATTGTCAGTTAATATATATACATGTGATATACATGTGTACCTTAGTGTCAGCTCGGCAGATGAACGTTTCGAAGTGGCATTCTTCTTTCGCTGTATTCGATTATATTAGACTCTTTTTAAAAAAAAGGTTATGATTAATCGTACTCTTGAGTTCATGTCTTATTTCATTGGATAAGGAAATAAATCTGCATAAAAGCCCGTATTATTAGAGAACACGTCATTACCTTATTGAGTTATATATAGGTACTTGGCAATTTACCAGTTACCGTCAAACAGGAAGTAACCTGTCAGACACAAAAGGAGACTCGCTGGAGTATGGTGGAACTGAATGTGAGTACCAGTTATATATCTATGACATAAACATCTGCTGCTGCTGAGTACAATATTACATTGTTACTTTAAGTATGTTATGATTTAATGTATTTTTTACTGTCATGTCTCATTTCATTGGATTAGTAAATAAATCTGCATAGAACATAATTTTGGAGCACTTGGGTAATCTTTTATGATTAAATTCCTGGTGTTTTTTTATAACGCTACCTTACCAGCTCAACACAGGGGTATCGTTCCCGCCTCACTTTGTCATTCTATGCCGATATGTGTTAATTATCCACCAGCGTGAAGTTGGTTACTTATTCAATATTGGGCTAGCCCAATATTGGGCTAGTTTGATATTCAAATGTACCTAACATAATAGTTCTTATGCCGCTTTTTCACACCTATACCACATCTGGGCATCTTCTTAGGTATCCACAGACAAAACGGCATCAACGATACCACAGGCTAAAGATGCTCACTGGGCATCATTTCGAATTTCAGTACA